GTTGATTGCTTGTACGCCCATCTGATTAATAATAAGTTAAGAGTATAGGTTGTGATCTATATAAAGTTGTGTTGATTGCTTGTAGGACTATCTGTTCAATACTAAACTTACAAGTATAGGTTGTGATCTATATAAAGTTGTGTTGATTGCTTGTACGCCCATCTGATTAATAATAAGTTAAGAGTATAGGTTGTGATCTATATAAAGTTGTGTTGATTGCTTGTAGGACTATCTGTTCAATACTAAAGTTAAGAGTATAGGTTGTGATCTATATAAAGTTGTGTTGATTGCTTGTACGCCCATCTGATTAATAATAAGTTAAGAGTATAGGTTGTGATCTATATAATTAGTTTGCCTGTTGCCCACTAGTAAACTTATAGGTACTGGTTGTAAAACATATAATGTTCGATTAGTAATTTTACATATCTACAATGTCAATTCTGGTCCATATAGTTAATTGTTTGTATGAAAAGCTTTTGTTCACTAAGAAATTTTCAGGAAAAGAAATCTTCTTCGTGACAAAATTTCCAATGAATTTGTTTATTTTTTCGGTTAATCGCTACAAACATACAAAATCTATGGACAATCGTTACATTTATGTGGAAATAGTAATATTACTTCATACTTACTACGTGTTTAATATAAATACTTTAATCATTTTATTCAAAGACCAAACGATATTTCGGTACGGTAACCATCGAAAAATATACTTTCATTTTGGTGCAAAAAAAATGAGAAGAAAATATTTTTAGTTAAATGTGCAAAAATTAAATAAACGTATTCAGTTATAGCAATGAAACACTAATAAAACGTTAAAATCGAATCGCTCTAAGGAAGAGGTCAATCCTGTCAAAATGTTGACTTTTACTTTACGGTGACTTGTGTACATGAACTAATGTGATTATCGAGAAATCAACTCTGTTCTTCAACGAGTGTGCTAATAATATTATAAATAAACAAGTTTATGATAAGAGAAACGAGAATAAACATTCTCTACTATGTTAATACGGATTTAAAGTAGAG